CCCCAAAACCCCAAAACCCCAAAACCCCAAAACCCCAAAACCCCATTTAGTGTAAAAGTTAATGAATTTCGATATTTAAAATATTATTTTAAGCAGCTCCAAAATATAATCATGGGTTGAGGACAATCAAATTCAGTCAAGAGGCTACACACCAGTCCAGTTGTCAAGAAAGATGGCGTTGATGTCTCTAAGGATAATGGTAACCAATGGCATGTAGAGAATGAACGTAGTCATAGAGCGGATCCTCCAGAGCAATGGAACTTTGCTGGTGATCTTGAAGGTAAGTCTGCTCAATAGTAAATTTCGAATATTTGGGCTTAAATTTTTGACAATTTATTTTAGTTGAGGAGCACAATGAGCCTAAAGAGCCTGAAAAATAAGGAGCAGATCCCTGTCAGGCAATCTATTGATGATGTCAAAAAGTCAGAGAAGTTTAGAAAAATTCAAAGGATTAAAACAGAGAAGATGGTTAATCAGATTGCTCAGAATAATCCAGAGAAGCTGGGGGAAGCTTCTATGAATATTATTAACAGGATTGATAATAAGAAGCTTCAGAAAAATAATATTCCTGAAGAAATAGCGCCAGATTATAAGAATAGAAGTCCTGATCTAATGGAAAGTATCGAAAAGCCAATACGTCCGTAAGTTCCCAATTCTCTCTAAGGAATTATCGATTTTATCTGTGAACGATTCCAGTTACAAAATTCAAATAATGAATATTTCATAATTGATGTTCCCATAAATTCCTAAATGAGGTGATTAATCGATAATTTAGAAACCCGACATCTGAGGTAGAAGCTGGTGATACATCTCATGAAGTTAATAAAAGTGTGACAAAAGAACCTCCCAAGAAGGGTACTAATATCTTACTGAATTTTTAGCTCCAACCTTCAAAGTAGATATGCCTGGAGCAGCTGTGATCACAAGAAATGTAATCTCATATAACTATGGTGCTAAAGGGAAGACTACAAGAGATTCAAATAGAAAATCTGAGCATTCAGATAGCGATTATGGAAAAAGCACAAATGTTATTATTTCTAAATCTATCAGTGTTAAGCCAGGAGTCCAGGTTAAAAAGCAAGAGAATGAACAAAGTAAGATTTTTAGATTTCCTCACTTTTTTGCTTTCAAAATTTTATTAATCCCCTATCTTAGATGAGAAAATTATGTTCTTATTCGATACTAAAATAATAAAATTTATAGCGAATCGATACACAGATGCTAACACTATCAATAACGTTCAGACCCAAAGGAGAAATTCTCCCACAAATCTTAATGGACTCCTAGAGGACATTGATGATAACAGCAGAGATGTCTTTGGAAACCCCAGAAACGATGTTCAAGTTGCCAAATTCGATACAAAGGAGGATGATCTTGATGAGCAAAAGCTCTTAAAAGAATTAGATGAGTCTTCAATTATCAACGACTCTAAACCCCAAAGCAAGCATCACCAAGTGTCTATCATGAATGAGCTGAATGATATTGAGGACACTCCTTCAGGCTTCCATAATGAACGTAATATTATGAACATAGATAGCCAAGGACATGATCCTATCAACCTGAGTGATTCAGTAGGTAAATTTGGTGAACAATTGCCCATTCCTCAACATAAAAAAGCAGAGAAAGAAGAAGAACCTCCGTCTCCTAATCAATTCGTGTTAGATGACCTTATGGATGAGCTTGGAGAATCCAAAGGAGCTGATTTCAAACCTAATATAGAAGTGAATAAGAAGGAATCAGAGAAAGATAATGATTTTCTAGCTGAATTTGAATGGTAGACTAAATTAACTTGACTCATAAGCCTAAATTTTGACATGCTGGTGTTCTTAATGGAGTCATATTCATGTAATTTCAATATGATCTTTCAAAAATGGGGTTTTGGGGTTTTGGGGTTTTGGGGTTTTGGGG